CGAGACCAACCGGCTGGACACGGGCATGCTGGTGGAAGTGTGGAACAAGGGCCTCATATGGGACAAAGCGCTGGGCTACCACTGGATCCCACTCACCAACATACAGTACTCCAACGAGGTAAGGAAAGGGGTGGAGGAGAATGTGGATGTGGGTGTGGATTGGAAGACTGGGGGAGAGGGGGAGAGGGTGGTGGATGTGCGTGAGAGAGAGAGAGAGAGAGAGAGAGAGAGAGAGAGAGAGAGAGAGAGAGAGAGAGAGAGAGAGAGAGAGAAGGGGGAAGGGTGAGAGAGAGAGGGAAGGAGAGGGTGAGAGAGAGAGGGGGGGGGGGAGAGGGTGAGAAGAGAGAGGGGGAAGAGGGTGAGAGAGAGAGGGGGGGAGGGTGAGAGAGAGAGAGGGGGGGAGAGGGAGAGAGAGAGAGAGAGAGAGAGAGGGGGGGGGGAGGGAGAGAGTGGATGAGGGAGAGGGAGGGAGAGAGAGCGAGTGGATGAGGGAGAGGGAGAGAGAGAGGGGGAGGGAGAGAGAGGGAGAGGGAGAGGAAGAGGAAGAGGGAGGGAGGGAAGGAGGGAGAGAGGGAGGGAGAAAGAAAGAGAGAAAGAGAGAAAGAGAGAGAAAGAGATGCATCTATAACGAGCTTATGATATAATTTTCAGATTTACTTTATGATTATGATTCAGTGTCATATCAACAGCAAATTATTTTAATAGCTGTTGCATTGGTTATTATCCAATAGAAGGTTTTGTTGCTATTGGGAATTCATTTAGAGTAATTTAATTTTCTTTTGTTTTTCTCACAGATCCCCATTGAGGTTAGTCTTTAGATAAAAAAGTCTACGCTGTAATTGTAAAGTAAAGTTTAAGAGAAGTAAAGTGGACAAGTAGAGCAATAATTCTATTAAAAAAAAGGCTGTTTAGTGGTAATAATTTGTTAGAAGAAGTGGCTTGTGAAATTAAGATCCCTCAGAAAAAAAAACACAAATGGAGAAAGAATAAGAGAGAGGTTGTTTGATTTGCTTTGTTTGTCTGTCCTTCAGCACAGCAACTATCGCTCCTCTCTTCTTTATGTTTTCAATCTTGCGTTTATCTCTTCGTTAATGGTTCCTTTGTTTACTTGTTTATGCGTATACTTGGGCTTGTGACATATATAGAATAGGTTTTATTGCCCTGCCAAACTGGCGTTGCGCTGAAAAAAGGAAGAAAAAAAAATGACGCCATTTCGTTCTGTTCATTAAATATTTCTATATGAATATCTGCCACGTGCTTGAGGACAGACGAGAAAACAACATCTAATTGTCTGCGAAGAGATCACTGATCCATTCCCCTTCAATTTTTATGCCAACTATCTGATCAGTCAGCGTGTACAGTAGGTGTTATTAAACGTAGAAATGTTTTCAGTGAACTATCACAGACATCCAGTTTATTTTTCACAGTAGAGTATTATCCTCAAATTATCATTTAACTCGCAAAATATCACGTAATACGGGGAGCATCTTTCATTCTGGCGTTATTAAGTTACTAATATGAAGATCCAAGAGTGATGCTACCATTAATATCTTAATTGTTGGTATTAGTCGAAGCATTGTTATTACTGTAGCACCAACAGTAGCAATAGCAGCCGTAGAAGAAGCCGTAGAAGGTGTATTGCTAATGCTGTTTAAAGTTTCTTTATTGTCAGTAGATGTAGACATTAATAATATTATCGCTATCACTGATAATAATGGTATTGATGATAATATTGATAATGGTGATACTGACAATAACGATGATGATAATAATAGTATCATAACCGTTATTATTATTATTATTATTATCATTATTTTTATTATTATTATCATAATCATCATCATCAGTCATCATTATTATTAATACTATTATTTTTATTGCTACAATCTTATCACTATTACTACTATTGCTATTAAATCATAGCCGTAAATAATTTCTATTTTTATTATTTATATTATTGATTAGTATTATTATTGATATTGATATTATTATTTTGTTATTATTATTATTGTTATAATTATTATTATTATTATTATTATTATTATTATTATTATTATTATTATTATTATTATTATTATTATTATTATTATTATTATTATTATTATTATCATCATCATCATCATCATCATCATCAATGTTATATAATTGTTGTTATAAAAATAATAATTGTTATTATTGTTGTTATTATTATTACTATTATTGTTATTATTATTATCATTAGTGTTATCATTGTTATTATTATTGCTATTATTATTATTATTATTATTGTCATTGTTATTATTATTATTATTTTTAGTAGTAGTAGTAGTAGTAGTAGTAGTATAATTATATTATTATTATTATTATTATTATTATTATTATTATTATTGTTATTATTGTTATTATTACTATTAATTTCGTCATCATCATCATTGCTATTATTAATGTTATTGATTACCACTACTTTATAGTAGCATTTATTATCAATATGATTTATTAAACTTAATTTTAAAGCTGAATG